TCTCCTCTCAGGCTTCTCTTCTTCAGGCTAAACATGCCCAGCTCCTTAAGCCGCTCCTCATAGGGCTTGTTCTCCAGACCTTTGATCATTTTAGTCGCCCTCCTCTGGACACATTCCAGCTTGTCAATATCTCTCTTGAATTGAATTGAATATATGTAGCTTAGGGTAACATAAGGAAAAGTAAACACCCCTCTGAAGTTTGTTTTTCTGCCTATGCCAGAAGATTTCCCCTCCCTTGTGATCATTGGATATATATATTGGTATTTGCCTTCAAGTCATTTCCAATCCAACGAAACCCTAAGGCGACTCTATCCTAGGGTTTTCTCAACAAGACTTGCTCCATAGTGGATATGCCATGGCCTTCCTATGAGGATGAGAGAATATGACTTGCCCAGGCTCACCAATAATGTGTTTCACCTCTGTGTGGCAATTTGAACCCAGGGTCCAATGCTCAAATCATGCCACCAAGCTAGGCTTCTAGATCCCATATGTAGCATAAATATCCAAAACCAAAACCAAGGTTACAACATCTATTATAGAACTCTAGTATGCTGATGACAACGTTGTCTGTGCACATTCAGAAGAAGACCTACAAGCCACTCTAAACACCTTTGCAGAAGCATACGAGAAGCTCAGCCTGTCATTAAACATCGAGAAAACCAAAGTGCTCTTCCAGCAGTCAACTGCCAGTCCCTCTCCAATGCCAGAAATACAGCTTAATGGTGTAACATTAGAAAATGTTGACCATTTCCACTACCTTGGCAGCCACCTCTCCACAAAAGTCAACATTGACACCGAAATACAACACCGCCTGAGCTCTGCGAGTGCAGCATTTTTCCGAATGAAGCAGAGAGTGTTTGAGGACCGGGACATCCATAGGGAGACCAAGGTGCTTGTTTATAAAGCTATTGTCCTCCCAACCCTGCTATACGCCTGCGAGACATGGACTATCTACAGACGTCACATGCAACTCCTAGAACGATTCCATCAGCGTTGCCTCCAGAAAATCCTGCAAATCTCTTGGGAAGACAAGCAGGCAAATCTCAGCATCCTGGACATCCGTAGGGATACCAAGGTGCTTGTTTATAGAGTTGTTGTCCTCCCAACCCTGCTATATGCCTGTGAGACATGGACTGTCTACAGACGTCACATGCAACTCCTGGAACGATTCCATCAGTGCGAGCTCTGGAAAATCCTGCAAATCTCTTGGGAAGACAGGCGGACAGCATGCTGGAAGAAGCAAAGACCACCAGCATTGAAGTGATGGTCGTCCGCCATCAACTCCACTGGACCGGCCACATTGTCCGGATGCCCGACCACCATCTCCCAAAGCAACTCAAGAATTGAAAATGGAATGTTGGTGGGCAGGAAAAGAGATTGAAAGATGGGCTCAAAGCCAACCTTAAAAACTCTGGCATAGACACTGAGAACTGGGAAGCCCTGGCCCTTGAGCGCTCCAGCTGGAGGTCAGCTGTGACCAGCAGTGCTGCAGAATTTGAAGAGGCACAAATGGAGGGTGAAAGAGAGAAACGTGCCAGGAGGAAGGCGCATCAAGCCAACCCTGACCGGGACCGCCTTCCACCTGGAAACCAATGCCCCCACTGCGGAAGAAGATGCAGATCAAAAATAGGGCTCCATAGTCACCTACAGACTCACCACCAGGACACGGATCTTGAAAGACAATCCTACTCAGACAACGAGGGATCGCCTAAGTAAGTAAGTAAGTATAAATATCCACATATGGAATTATGTCTTAATTGTGCTCTGCCAGCACGGGATAGAATGTAAATGTTCCATCACTGAACCAAAACACCAAATGAGGAACAGATAGTCAAATACACATGCTTGCACTATGAACACCCATGTGCACACATGCCACATAATTTGCAGTCACCCATCAAATATGCAGCATGTGTGTACACCTTCAAGTCACTTATGGACATCCCATGAATTTCCCAGAGTTTTCTTAAGCAATGAACCATAGAATCATAGAATCACAGGATCCTAGAGTTGGAAGAGACCTCATGGGCCATCCAGTCCAACCCCTTTCTGCCAAGAAGTAGGACAATCGTGTTCAAAGCACCCCCAACAGAAGGCCATCCAGCTTCTGTTTAAAAGCCTCCATAGAAGGAGCCTCCACCACACTCCTGGGCAGAGAGTTCCATAGCTGAATGGCTTTCACAGACAGAAAGTTCTTCCTAATGTTCAGGTCCTTTCCCGTAGTTTGAAGCCATTTTCCCATTGCGTCCTATTCTCCAGGGCAGCCTGAAGAAGAGAAGGCTGAGAGGAGACACGATGGCCATGTATAAATATGTGAGGGGAAGTCACAGGGAGGAGGAGGGAGCAAGCTTGTTTTCTGCTTCCCTGGAGACTAGGACGCAATGGAGCACCAGGATTGTGGCGCAGTGGCTGTCAGCTGCATTAAGATCACTCTGACCAAAAGGTCATGAGTTCAAAGCCAGCCCGGGTTGGAGTGGGCTTCCAACCAATTGTGTAGCCTGTTGTCGACCTTTGCAACCCGAAAGACAGTTGCATCTGTCAAGTAGGAAAATTAGGTACCACCTTAAAGTGTGGGGAGTGTGGGGAGCAAAAAGCATGCGGGGAATGCGGAAGTGCTTCATCAGTGTCGCAGATGGATGATGAAAGCAACCAGAAAAAGTTAAATAGCCTCTGTGTCTGTCTGTATATGTTGTATGTCAAAATTGGCATTGAATGTTTGCCATAGATGTGTACACTGTAATCCACCCTGAGTCCCCTGCGGGGTGAGAAGGGCGGAATAGAAAAGCTGTAAATAAATAATAAATAAATAACTGAACATGAGGAAGAACTTCCTAACTGTGAGAGCTTTTCAGCAGTGGAACTCTCTGCCCCAGATTGTGGTGGAGGCTCCTTCTATGGAGGCTTTGAAGCAGAGGCTGGATGGCCATCTGTCTGGGGTGCTTTGAATGTGATTTTCCTGCTTCTTGGCAGAATGGGGTTGGACTGGATGGCCCAGGAGGTCTCTTCCAACTCTAGGATTCTATAAACTGAGCATACAAAAGCTGACCTAAAGCAGGCCTGGGCCAACTTCGGCCCTCCCTCCAGGTGTTTTGGGCTCCATCTCCCACCATTCCTAACAGCCTACCGGCTGTTAGGAATGGTGGGAATTAGAGTCCAAAGCACCTGGAGGGCCCATGTGTGTGTCAGGAGTGACTTGAAAAACTGCAAATCACTTCTGGTGTGTGAGAATTGGGATAAATAAACTTTATTTTTGGGTTGTAGGTTTTTTTTGGGCTATGTTCTAGAGGCATTCTCTCCTGACGTTTCGCCTACATCTATAGCAAGCACCCTCAGAGGTAGTGAGGCGTGTAGGAACTAGGAAAATTGGGTTTATATATCTGTGGAATGTCCAGGGTGGGAGAAAGAACTCTTCTGCTGGAGCTAGGTGTGAATGTTTCAGCTGACCACCTTCATTAGCATTTGAAGGCCTGGCTGAGCCTGGGGAAAATCTTTTGTTGAGAGGTGTTAAGATGTGCCTGGTTGTTTCCTCTCTGCTGTTTTTGCTATTGTAATTTTAGAGTTTTTTAATACTGGTAGCAAGATTTTGTTCATTTTCATGGTTCTCCTTTCTGTTGAAATTGTCCACATGCTTGTGGATTTCAATGGCTTCTCTGTGTAGTCTGACATGGTGGTTTTGAGAGTGGTCCAGCATTTCTGTGTTCTCAAATAATATGCTGTGTCCAGGTTGGTTCATCGTGTGCTCTGCTATGGCTGATTTCTCTGGTTGAAGTAGTCTGCAGTGCCTTTCATGTTCCTTGATTCGTGTCTGGGAGCTGTGTTTGGTGGTCCCTGATGAACCAACCTGGACACAGCATATTATTTGAGAACACAGAAATGCTGGACCACTATCACAACCACCATGTCAGACTACACAGAGAAGCCATTGAAATCCACAAGCATGTGGACAATTTCAACAGAAAGGAGGAAACCATGAAAATGAACAAAATCTGGCTACCAGTATTAAAAAACTAAAATTACAACAGCACAACAACAGAGAGGAAACAAACAAGGACATCTAATCACCTCTCAACAAAAGTTTGCTCCAGGCACTGTTAGGCCATTAGACATGATGTATAAATATGGGAGGGGAAGCCACAGGGGGGAGGAGGGAGCAAGCTTGTTTTCTGCTGCCCTGGAAACTAGGATGCAATGGAGCCATGGCTTCAAACTAGGAGAAAGGAGATTCCACCTGAACATTAGGAAGAACTTCCTGACGGTGAGAGCTGTTCAGCAGTGGAACTTTCTGCCCCAGATTGTGATGGAGGCTCCTTCTATGGAGGCTTTGAAGCAGAGGCTGGATGGCCATCTGTCTGGGGTGCTTTGAATGCGATTTTCCTGCTTCTTGGCAGAATGGGGTTGGACTGGATGATGGCCCAGGAGGTCTCTTCCAACTCTAGGATTCTATAAGCTGAGTATACAAAAGCTGACCTAAAGCAGGCCTGGGCCAACTTCAGCCCTCCCTCCAGGTGTTTTGGACTCCAACTCCCACCATTCCTAACAGTCTACTGGCTGTTCTTGCCATACATCAAGGAAAAGTGTTCTTGCCATACATCAAACAGGCACATAAAGTCACTCTCAACAAAAGATTCCCCCCAGGCACTTCCAAGCCATTGAATGCTAATCAAGGTGGTCAGTTGAAACATTCACACCTGCCTTCAACAGACAAGAGTTCTTTGTCCCACCCTGGTCATTCCACAGATATATAAACCCATTTTTCCTACTTCCAACAGACCTCACTACCTCTGAGGATGCTTGCCATAGATGCAGGCGAAACGTCAGGAGAAAAATTGCCTCCAGAACATGGCCATATAGCCCGGAAAAACCTACAACAACCCAGTGATTCCGGCTGTTAGGAATGGTGGGAGTTGGAGTCCAAAACACCTGGAGGGAATGCCGAAGTTGGCCCAGGCCTGTGCTAATGACAAGCCTAATGAGTTCTCCTGCCTGCCTGCCCCTCTCACCTGGATGTAGGCCCTTTGGAGGAAGCTGTAGGGCAGTCGGCGCTGGAAGTCTGCCCGCACTTCTTCACTCGCGTGGGGCAAAGACGAGGCTGGCAGGCCGGCTTGGGTGAGGCAGGAGCGCAGGCAGTGGGCCCGGCGGAGGAAGTGGAAGGGGGCGTCCTGGCCCCATGGCTCAGCCCTCCCTTCGTCTGCTTCTTCTCCCCCAAAAGGGAAGCTCTCCTGAGCCCGGCATCGCCTCCCACACCTCAGGCGTGCTTCTCGGAGGCGCTTCTCTTCCTCGAGGGCTCCTTCCAAGCAGGACACGGCCACGGAGAAGTCCCCCCGCGAGTGGGCCTCCAGCCCCGAGGCGTAGAGGGCGTCGAAGGGCGCCTCCGACGGGCACAGAGGCAGCAGGGACCCCTCGGAAGACCCCCAAGAAGAAGAGAAGAGAAGCAGCAGCAAAAGCGGCCCCGGGAGCATCCCACCTCTCTCTCTCTCCCTCTCTCTCCGAATCTGGGGTCTCACGGTGTTGCCCCCAGGGTGAGGGTTTCTCCCACAGGCCCTCAGGGGAGAAAGTGGGTGAGGGTCTCCCAAAAGTTTCCCAAATAGGATGAGAGCCGAAGAAAAGTCCGTATCCGAGGGAAGGGATGCCAAAGCAGGTTCTAAGTGGGATTCAAAGGGTCACGATGCCCGGCGGTGGGATTCAGGAGTCGGCAAAGGGGGAGAAATTGAGTGAGGGTCTCCTAAGTTTTCCAATGTGACATAAGAGCCCAAGAAGAGTCCGTATCCGAGGAAGGGATGCCAAAGCAGGTTCTGGTTGGGTTTCAAAGGGTCACGGTGCTTGGTGGTGGGATTCGGGGGTCAGCAAAGCGGGAGAAAGTGGGTGAGGGTCTCCCAAGGTTTCCCACGTGGGATGAGAACCGAAGTAGAGTCCGTATCCGAGGGAAGGGATAACAAAACAGTCTCTGAATGGACTCCAAAGGGTCACGATACCCGGCGGTGGGATTCAGGGTTCGGCAAAGGGGGAGAAAGTGAGTGAGGGTCTCTCAATGTTTCCACAGTGGGATGGAAGCCCAAGAAGAATCCGTATCCGAGGGAAGGGATGCTGGGTGGACTCCAAAGGGTCACGATGCTCGGCGGTGGGATTCAGAGGTCGGCAAAGGGTGGAAAAAGTGGGTGAGGGTCTCCCAAGGTTTCCAACGTGGGACGAGAGCCGAAGAAGAGTCCGTATTGGAGGGAAGGGATGCCAAAGAAGGTTCTGGGTGGGCTTCAAAGGGTCACGATGCTCGGCGGTGGGATTCAGAGGTCGGCAAAGGGTGGAAAAAGTGGGTGAGGGTCTCCCAAGGTTTCCAACGTGGGACGAGAGCCGAAGAAGAGTCCGTATTGGAGGGAAGGGATGCCAAAGCAGGTTCTGGTTGGGCTTCAAAGGGTCACGATGCCCGGCGGTGGGTTTCAGGGGTCGGTAAAGGGGGAGAAAGTGGGTGAGGGTCTCTCAATACTTCCAGCGTGGGATGGGAGCCCAAGAAAAATCCGTATCGGCAGGAAAGGATGTCAAAACAGTCTCTGAATGGACTCCAAAGGGTCACGATGCCCGGGGGTCGGCAAAAGGGGGAGAAAGTGGGTGAGGGTCTCCCAGTGTTTCTAGGGATTCGGAAGGAGTCCTAACCAGAGGCCGAAGCAAGCGCCTTGCGTCGCCTCCAAAGTCCCGGAGTTTGGAAGTTTAGAAGTTTGGAAGGGAAGCTTCCTCGCCTGCCTTTGCTTGCCTTCCTCGCTCTCTGCTCCTTCTCCTCCTCCTCCTCCTTCTCCTTTTGTTTGGAAGTTGTTGGGAAGTTGGGAAAGGGAGGCTTGGTTGGGGCTGCTCTTGGCTCCCTGCTTCTGCTTCTGTTCTCCTTCGCCTTTGCCGGCTGCCTGCCTGTTTGGCCCCGCCTCCCTTCGTAGGGGGGACCGGCCTGGCTTTCGTGGGGGGCAGAGAAGGAGGAGGGAAGAGAGGGAAGGGGAAGAGGAGGAGGAGGAAGAAGAGGAGGAGGGGGAGAGGCGCCCCCTAGCGGACAAGCCCCCCCCCCGCCCCAGCTCAGCCCTTCCACCCACTTCTCCACATCAAAAAAACCAAGATTATGGCAACAAGAATGACTGACAACTGGAAAATAGAGGGAGAAAACGTGGAGGCCGTGACAGACTTTGTATTTCTAGGCGCAAAGATGACTGCAGACGCAGACTGTGGCCAGGAAATCAGAAGACGCTTCCTTCTTGGGAGGAGAGCAATGTCCAGTCTCGATAAAATAGTGAAGAGTAGAGACATCAGACTGGCAACAAAGATCCGCCTAGTCAAAGCCATGGTATTCCCTGTAGTAACCTACGGATGTGAGAGCTGGACCTTAGGGAAGGCTGAGCGAAGGAAGATCGATGCTTTTGAGCTGTGGTGTTGGAGGAAAGTTCTGAGAGTGCCTTGGACTGAAAGAAGATCCAACCAGTCCATCCTCCAGGAAATAAAGCCCGACTGCTCATTGGAGGGAAGGATACTAGAGACAAAGTTGAAGTACTTTGGCCACATCATGAGGAGACAGCAAAGCCTAGAGAAGACAATTATGCTGGGAAAAGTGGAAGGTAAAAGGAAGAGGGGCCGACCAAGGGCAAGATGGATGGATGGCATCCTTGAAGTGACTGGACTGACCTTGAAGGAGCTGGGGGTGGTGACGGCCGACAGGGAGCTCTGGCGTGGGCTGGTCCATGAGGTCACGAAGAGTCGGGGATGACTGAACAAATGAACAACAACAAATCATATATCCGATGGAACCAAACTCCCGAAGGACCAAAACTCAATTGTACTATGTTGGAAAGAACACTACCAAAGCCTCCTGAACCGCAGCTCCAGTGTGGCCAAAGAGGTCATCTCACAAATCCCGCAACAACAAACCAGGGATGAGCTTGCAGCGCTGCCTAGTTTGGAAGAAGTCAGCAATGCCATCAACCAACAGAAGAATAACAAAGCCAGTGGACCGGATGGGATCCCTGCTGAAATCTTTAAAGAGGGAGGACCTGAGCTGACACACCAACTCCACCAGCTCATAGAATATTGTGTCCAATTCTGGGCATCACAATTCAAGAGAGATATTGACAAGCTGGAATGTGTCCAGAGGAGGGCGACTAAAATGATCAAGGGTCTGGAGAACAAGCCCTAGGAGGAGTGGCTTAAGGAGCTGGGCATGTTTAGCCTGAAGAAGAGAAGGCTGAGAGGAGATATGATAGCCATGTATAAATATGTGAGAGGAAGTCACAGGGAGGAGGGAGCAAGCTTGTTTTCTGCTTCCCTGGAGACTAGAGCGCGGAACAATGGCTTCAAACTACAAGAGATTCCATCTGAACTTCCTGACTGAGAGCCGTTCAGCAGTGGAACTCTCTGCCCAGTGTGGTGGAGGCCCCTTCTTTGGAAGCTTTTAAACAGAGGTTGGATGGCCATCTGTCAGGGGTGATTTGAATGCAATATTCCTGCTTCTTGGCAGGGGGTTGGACTGGATGGCCCATGAGGTCTCTTCCAACTTTGATTCTATGATTCTATGACTCTTCCCAAACAGAGGATGCCTCCAGGCAACAGAGGCCAGGCTACCTCTATGCAGATACCCTCACTGATTGACTTTGCAGCTTCATGGCTACTCAATGCTATTTAAGCTTGCTAATTGCAACATTCACACTTGCTTCAAGCAGACAAGGGTTCTTTCTCCCACCCTGGACATTATTCCACAGGGATATAGACACGCCACTTGCTTCACTACCAATAGAACCTCTGAATATGCCATTAGATACAGATGCAGGTGAAACATCAGGAGAGGATGCTGCTGGAACATATAATAATAATAATAATAATAATCTTTATTTGTACCCCGCCACCATCTCCCTGAAGGAAAGAAAATACATACAAAGTAGACAATAACATCAAATAAAATGATTAACTATAACATAGTAATGCAATAAAATAATAACAATAACATAACAAAAGCAAAGTACTAGACATACAACCCAAAAAATCACAGCAACTCAGTGATTCCAGCCATGAAACCCTTCGACAACACAAGAAGCATATGTCGTAATAGGGAAGTCTCACAAAAGTTCAAAGACTCGCTTTTGATCAGAGAGAAAGGTGGGATGATGATGATGATGATGATGATGATGATGATGATATACATTAAGTTTCCTTTGTTCATAATTCCAAAATAGCTCACCAGAGTGACCAAGACAGTGACACCTTGGCTCTCTGATAATTCAGTTGCTTTGTTTCCTGCACAAAATTATTTTAAATATTGATTAAAATTACCTCAAAGCTATGTTTATAAGGTATGTATGAAACTCAGATAACATTCCTTGTTTAGACTTGGGTCTATCTCATGATGTACATGCAAATGTTCCAAAATCTGAAAAAAATCCCAAACTCAGAACACTTCTGGCCCCAGGGATTTCGGAAAAGGGATACTTAATCTATGTATATAAATGTAATCAATCATTATGATAGTGTTTTATGTGCATAGACATCTCCTTATGCATGTGATCGTGCTTTTTGGTCATAGTATAATGCCTGTATTCAGTTCATAGTTGCAAAAATTCGGTTTTCATATGATGTTGCTCATTCTTTGCTGCTGCATAATAATTTTCAGTCCATGTTGTTGAAGGATCTCATGGCCGGAGTCACAGGGTTGCTGTGAGTTTTTCAGACTGTATGGCCATGTTCCAGTAAAATTCTCTCTTGGTGTTTCACAGAATGGGGGACGCATGGCTTGAGAGCAGTACGTGTGAAAAAGATCTTAGGGTCCTCGTGGACAACAAGTTAAACATGAGCCAGGAATGTGATGCAGCGGCAAAAAAAGCCAATGGGATGTTGGCCTGCATCAAGAGGAGCCTAGTGTCTAGATCCAGGGAAGTCATGCTCCGCATGCTCTATTCTGTCTTGGTTAGACCACACCTGGAATACTGTGTCTAATTCTGGACACCACAATTCAGGAGAGATGTTAACTCTAAGCTGGAATGTGTTCAGAGGAGGGCAACTAAAATGATCAAGGGTCTGGAGAACAAGCCCTATGAGGAGCGGCTTAAAGAGCTGGGCATGTTTAGCCTGCAGAAGAGAAGGCTGAGAGTAGATATGTATAAATATGTGAGAGGAAGTCACAGGGAGGAGGGAGCAAGCTTGTTTTCTGCTTCCATGGAGACTAGGATGCAAGGGAACAATGGCTTCAAACTACAAGAGAGGAGATTCCATCTGAACATGAGGAAGAACTTTCCAACTGTGAGAGCCATTCAGCAGTGGAACTCTCTGCCCCGGAGTGTGGTGGAGGCTCCTTCTTTGGAGGCTTTTAAACAGAGGCTGGATGGCCATCTATCAGGGGTGCTTTGAATGCAATGTTTCTGCTTCTTGGCAGAATGGGGTTGGAATGGATGGCCCATGAGGTCAATTCTATGATTCTTTGATTCACCTGCATCTGTGGCTGCATCTTCATGCCTCCCAAACCAGAGGCAGCCCTAGGTAATTTTCAACGGTAAGCAAACAGTACCCCCCCCCCCCAACCAATCACTGATATATATTTTCTGTTCGTCGTGGGAGTTCTGTGTGTCATATTTGGTTCAGTGTCATCATTGGTGGAGTTCAGAATGCTCTTTGATTGTAGGTGAACTATACATCCCAGTAACTGCAACTCGCATATGTCAAGGTCTATTTTCCCCCAAGAGCGCCTCAAGAGCGCCCCTGGGCAAAATCAACTATACTGCAAATGCTTACTTTGCGTAATGGGTTGAGCCGCCCCTGTCCCAAACAGAGGATGCCTCCAGGCAAGAAAGGCAACTCTACCTCTATGCAGATACCCTCACTGAGCCTCGTGGCTACTCAAATGCTAATTCAAGCTTGCTAATTCCAACATTCACATTTGCTTTAAACAGACACGGGTTCTTTCTCTCACTCTGGACATTGCACGGGTAGATATACACTCCACTTGCCTCATGGCCAACAAACCTCTGAGGATGCTTGCCACAGATGCAGGTGGCACATCAT